GTTGGGATCATTGGTTTGGGTGACAATACAATAGAGCTTCCTATGGCTTATGCGGCGATTCATGAAATAGATTTGATCGGAATTTGTCGCTATAAAGACGAGTAGGAATTTGATGTGCAAAACGATTGGTTTTAATGTTTCATTTGTTTCATAATAGCTTTCAGTTAGCGTTACAATTGATATCAAGCGGAAAAGTAGATCTAAAGCCATTGGTTTCTCATAGGTTTCCCATTGAAGAAGCAATAAATGCATTCAAACTTATGAAGAGTCGCAGCGATGGGGTCTTAAAAGTAATGATTAATTATTAAAATAATATACTCAACCATTTAATGTATTTTATGTCATTTATACAAATATATTAACGAAACAAAAATAATGCTTTTTAGGTTTAATGACATTTATATCATAATTACTGTTATAACAAATCAAATAAATTAAATAAATGATAAGTTTTACTTCACTTTCTTTTGCTTATATTAGCCGTGTTTATAAGTTTATTATAAGTTATAATTTATAACAAATATGGTATTACTTGTAAACTCAGAATTCAGTCTTCCTGTAAATTGAGACAAATTTTTTAAAATTTTGTTTTAAATAACTTTATTCTACGGCAATAATAATAAAAACTTTTTTTTGCATTAATGTCTGCAATATAAAAATGTTTGGATTTTGAATCAAAACTTTTCAAAACTATTCTCGCAGTTATAGAACTTCAAAAGTAAAAGCATTTATTTGTTTAATTTAATTAATGATTTGTTATGTCTTTGCGTGCGATTTGTTATCAAAACTTTTAATTTCCAAATATAAATATCACATAAATTGAGTCATTATTTAACAGTAATAAATATTTTTAAGAAATGGGTTAAAAACGACAGGAAATTTGTTGGAAATAAGTTGTCAATCATTAGTTGGATTATTAGTTTATTAAATATATGGTAAATATAACTGTCTTTTAAGAAAATGAATGAATTGATTGTAAAGTATTATAAATTCTTTGAAAAAATGGGATGAAATATTGGGAAGTGTTTGCGAAAGTAATTGAGAAGTTGGTGTCAAATGAATCAATCATTTGTTGGAAGTGTTGAAAAGTTGGCAAACGGTTTGCCTGTCGTCTCCCCTCTCGTCAGTGATGTTGTTAAGCGTCTAATATTACAACTTTACCATAAATTTACATTTAGTTACACATAAATTACCGATATTTTTAGTTTTACATAAAACTTACAATCAAATTCAATAATTATAATTATAATTAATTAATTATTATAAATATATAAATATTCTAAAAAAGGTGTGATTCTTACACTTATTATTGTTATAAGAAGTGAGAACTAATGTTATTATAAATTTAATAAATAAAAATTAGATCTTTAATTGTGTATTAAAAAGTAAAATTTATTATAAATTAGGGAATATTACATGTAATGTAAGTTTAAAATAAGTATTACACGTAATCTAACAACTGTAGTGATTGGGAGTTTGCATTGATTTTGGGCCAAAGTTAGTGCACATAATGCTGTGTCATGTCATGTGATGGCAGTCCTATTCACATAGCATTCACTCTCTCTTTACAACTCATTAAAAATATTTGTTGCAAACAATCGTTTCATTCAATCATCCCTTCAATCATCCAATCCTTCAATTCATCACTACTTCCAGCGATTGTTGTCTTTGTTTTTGTTGCCATTAATTGTCATTAAATGTGATTACGATATGAATTGTCGTGAATTGACGGCAAGTGATGACACGATTGAGTGACAAGTGATTGCTTTTCATCACTTGATATGATTTGTTGTCATAATTGCGACCAAAAGTCATATGAATTTACAAATTATGTTATGATTTGAGGGGAAATTTGGACGAAGAATGCAATCAGTGGTGAAGTGGAGGAAGAGATGGTTCGCCATAGGAGTGGCCACAGGAGTGATACTGTCGTTGTTTGTGATGCCATTCATCGAAGACTGTCATCACGTGAAGCACAGCCACGAAGACACTGACCATCGGCTCAACGACTGGTATTCAATGATTGCCAGCAATGACTACAATCCGGTCATTCATCTGAAGCCAAACGGAACCGATTCGCAGACCAAACATATCAATGAAAAAGTTATTCGTCCGAAGTTTGTATCGACAGAACTGGACATCAAAGAGAATCTCTTGATTTGTGTCCAATTGTCCATCAATTCAGACAATGTCTTCAATTCATATCTCGTAAACCAAACAATTGAAGCGTTTTCTGATAAAGTGATGCTTTTTTACGACCAATCGGTGATCACTTCCAGTCCCAAAGACATGATGTCTAACATTAAATATATTGATTCTGTGATCCAATTGAGTACGGAATCAATTGAAGTGCCATTTATTAGATCCAAACCAAAGTATTTAAATATTTTAAACTATTTATTTAAGACACAAATCGTCCAAAACTTCAATTTTATATTTATTATAAGCGATAAGACATTTATAAATCAAAATAATTTATACCAATTCTTAGCCAATTTCTCTGTCAGTCAACACATCTTCTCTTCGCCTCTCATAACACATGACTTACAAGACTTTCAATTAGATAATGATCTGAACAATGAATTAGATTCTGGTGTCATATTCAGTACATCCCTTCTCTTGTGGTGTAATTTAGATGACAATTGTTTGAAAAAGTTTAGGAATAAATACCCGAATCCAACGCAAAGTACTTTCATATCATATAAACTTAATTCTGAAACAATCGATGAAAATATACTCAATTCTCACGCCATTTACTCTTCAGTCACTATATTTCCAGTCAATACAATCGATACTTATCTTAAATTGCATTTAATTCTGTGCCAAAAGTCTATTAAACAAACGATTGATAAATTATCATCAATTGAAGAGCAAATAATTACCTCAAATGATAACGAGTCAGCCCTCGAGTGGCCCACAGGAGTGGTGAAGGCATTGAAGCCAAACAATCGGTTTGATGTCAACCGATGGCAATATTTCAATGAATCTCATTCTTTAATGCCTAACGATTTTGACATCACTCTCGAGTTGAATGCCATTGAAAGCCGCGAATTGTCGCAAATAAAGTCAGCGGCCATTGAATGGCTTCAGAATGAATACGACATCTCTATAACAGACGGAAACCACCGATTGATTAATATTTACAGAAGATTTGATGCGATCCGTGGCTTAGAATATGTGTTGGATTTTCGTTTGAAAGCATTTGCGGACATAAAACGATTACAAGTGATTAAACCATTCAATAAAATTGAATTGATTCCAGACGTGCCTTACGTTACAGAAAGTGTTAGAATTGTTTTGATTTTAGTCATCAAAAGTCGGCAACAGATTGAAAGCGCGTCCGCTTTCTTAACTCAATACACAAATGTATGCCTCAAGAAATTGAATCACAGAACTGTACTTATAATGGTATTAATGTATAGAAATGAATACCAAAACGACGATTACATCCAAATCAAAGAAGAGGCGACACAACTGCAGATCAAATACAAGAATTCTGGCGCAAAGATCGCGTGGATTCCTATACATAGTGCCAAAGAAAATAGAGTTGTCACAGAATTAGCGTATTTTGATATAATATTGAAAAAATTATCCCAAAGTTTTTCGGACGCACTTCTTCTGCACTGTCGGCCAAATATGATTCTAAGCGTGGATTTTCTGAATCGCGTCCGACTTAACACTATTCAAGCAAATCAAGTCTTCTTTCCGATCCCTTTCGTTGAATACCGGCTCAGAAGTCAAGTCAAACCGTTGAGGAATTTTGATGTCCGAAAAGACAACGGCTTTTTTGAGACAACAAATTATAATCACTTCTCTTTCTATTTGTCTGATTATATAAAAGCTCGCAAAGAGTCACACGAATTGCTTCCTATTGTCAAAAACGTACAGTTCCTTCAAAATAGTATTTATTATGGCTCTCATATCGATGTCTTCCATCTATTTGTTAATTACAACAAACAATTGGACAACAAATCAAATAAACGCTTATTTATAATGCGAGCGATTGAACCGGAATTAAGACTAAAACACGAGAGCTTTACTTACGACTGTCTCTCATATGAGAGCAATAGATATTCAATAGAGAACTGCGAGAAGAGGATAGCATTGGGTTTGGGAAGTCGTCCACAATTAGCAGCTCTTGTTATCGACGACAACAAGAAAGAGGGACAAGAAGTCAGTGACGATGAAAATGCTAATGTTTTTTGAGTTTTGTTTTCTATTTTATAATTTTAAAAATATTTTATTTAGTATTTGAAAGATTTTTTACCTTTTTTCTATAATTATAAAAATGATGATAACTTTTTAAAAAACAAATTCTCTATTTATTGTTATAAAATAATAACTTAAATATATTTTCCATTAGAATTATTCGCTAATAATTATGAAATTGTTATAACTTTTTAATGATAAAAATAAATTCAAATATACAGTAATAAAATTGATTTCAATGATACCAATACTATGTGACTAATATTGAACATAATATTTAATAAATTATACACAGAATGTGACATCACATGAGAACATCCACTTTATTGCCCACTCTTTTGCAACCGGTTTTTGAATATAATTTAGTGTCGGCCGGGAAGTACTCCAATTCATTGGCCACCTTTCAGTACAAAATTGTATATCAATTAATGTTTTATAGTTTTGTGTATAAATGTAATACAAAATACATTACATTTCTAATGAATTCTTCTCCCGGATCTACCATTGGATCTGATTTGTTGTAGTGTTGCCTCAAATAATCATTAATACATAGTTTTATGTGCTTTTTCTCCAAAGGAAGGAATGGTACGAAAGCGTCGATCAGATTCTTCTCGACGATATCACTCTTATAAAGGCCTCCGTCTTCATTGAAAGCTCCAGAATTGATCAACGGTTCCAAGTCTTTGATTGTGATGTCTGTGCGCTCTCTGCCCGACAAATGGTAATCATAAGCAGTCTTTGTAATACCGGTGCCGCCGGTGTTGCTGTTCATCACAAATACATAGTTATTAATAAATTGTATGGAAAATAATATTACAATAAGTCTCAAAGTATGGCTCAAATAAAACCTTAAAAATATGAAAACAGATTTCCTGTAATCGACAAAATCGACGAATTGATTGAAATCAATGAATGGTTTGATGGCATCGATCACTCCGGGCGTCAATTTGTCCATTTCGTCAAAGATGAAGAGAGACCGCTCGCACTGCTTGACCATTGCAGTCACGTTATCTCTAATCCATTGTCTCATCAATTGTTTGTCATTTGTGTTAAATTTGGTGCAAATAATGTGTTTCACAAAATCACTTCTTCCGGATTCGCGATACTTTCGGTATATGTTTTTGGCCACAATTTCAGACACAAAGTTCTTCCCACCGCCGGTCCAGCCGTGAAGAGACAACACCAACGCCTTCGTCGGGTTCGCATTCTTCAGGTGTTTGGGAATCAATTTAGTGATGATATTCTTCGCCAAATGCTGGCCATGGAGTTGCGTATTGAGACTGCGGTCGAGTTGTGTCAGCTCGTAGTCAATCCAGGCCTCCCTCCGGAACCATTTGCCGGCCGACGAGTCCTTCACGAGCCGTTTGTCTTCGCCGAAGGGATGGCAACACTCGACTGTCGAGCACTTGAGGTAATCCCACGTCCCATATATGGCTCCCAAACCGATCGCTCCCAACACTCCCACCAGTGATGATGTGATCGGCTCTATAGACACCACACCTGAGACCACACACAGATATAGAGTCACCGCAAACACCAAATTCATTGTCTTCTTCCTCACCATTCAATTCATTACTTCATTTGAAATACAATTTTCACCACAAAATCAATCCTTAAATCCATTCAAAACTTTATCTCATATTTTGAAAACATTTCGCTTTTTTAGACATAAATTACGACAAAATATATTCTTTAAGAATTGGTTTTTGTTGTAAAGAATTGATCGAAGAATTGAAAGCAATGATTGGTTTTGTTTGAAATACAATTTGTAAGAGAATTGAATGATTGACCCAAATGTGTGGTCGCATTCATACTGACCTCTCATTGGACACGAAGTCAATCACTATTTATGACTATTGTGTCAATGAATATGACTTTATTATGAAGTGAACGATAACTGACACTCACCGTCAGTACTGTACGACAATTATCATGAAAAATAAGATTAATTATAACAATAATTAAATATTAATTTTAATGGCAAATTTGTCGTTACGAAAGATGTGTTTAAAACACTTTATTTAATACTATATTGAAAACAAAATACAGTAAATACTTATTAATGAATACACTGTTTAAAACTAAACAATAAATAATTAACATTCAATAAATATAACAGCAAATAAATTATTATCGAAATTAATTATAAATACATACTTTACATACATTTATAAAACAATATAATTGTAATGTAATTTAAAATAAAATATATCCAAATCATATGATACTGAATATGAATAGTATCCATTACTATTAACAAATAACAACCAATACTAATGGCCATAAAGATTACAAAATAGGAATCAATGACAAGAACTGTGTTTAAGACCTAACTCTGCCGTTTGCGGGACAATACTCGGCGTACTCTTCCCACGAACAGCCGGCCGAACCATTACAGCACTCGTCGATTATACCCCTCTTTCTAATCCTTTTATTACTTNACATATTATTCGCTTCTTTAGGCACCAGAAACGGCCCGTTTGTGAACGTCTCCACTGAAAACGCAAATTAGTTCACAATTTATTCAATTTTTATGTTTAATATCGCAAACAATTAATTGAAATGAAATCAAACCTTCGATAAGATCACGCTTTTTGCGGAGTTTATAAATATCTTTATCGCAAACCCATTCCATGTGATCGACGAGGTCTTGATAACAACGTTTGTGTTTCTCCGAGTGCCAGATGTGTCTCCAGTCCTCATCACTTCTCAAAGTGAAGATTTTATCCCAATTTGGAGAATCACTCAAATCATTGTTTCCGTCAACACTTATGAACACCAAAAACAAGTATAAAACCGATACAAATGTTTTGTAATTATCCAAATATTGTCGCATTTCTCTCGCGATCCACACAATTGTTTTGTAGACTTCTTTGCAACTCTTTCTTTTGACTCGAAGCTAACAAAACTGGACAGAAGTTTCAAAACACAAATTGTTCAGTAATTTTGTATTATTTATTTAAATTACAAA